GACGCTCCACAGCCCTTCTAGTGTGTCGGGCTGAGCCCCCAGTGTAGCTCAGTGGCTCTTGCAACGAGAGAGTTGCTGTTTATCCTTTTGAAGGCTCTCCTCCATTTTATGAAAGGGTTAGGACCATTTTCCTGGAGGTAAAAACGTAGGATTACGTGGTTGCTCCTGCCTAGGGGTGGGGAGGTTTCTAGACCGGCCACGTCGTTGGGATACTTGCTGAGGACTAGGTCCGAAAACCCAGGGTGTTGCCCACTGCGATAACGCGTGGGTTGACTGACGTGTTGGACTAGGGCGCAGTCGAGGGTAAAATTGACTAGCATATGCCCAAAACTGCTTGGGGGTACCCACATGACATTCCAATCGACTTCAAGGACACTGAAGTCTCCCAGAATTAGCACGCTGGTAGTCCGATAAACGAACTGTCGGAGGTATAACAGTAGTTGCTCATCCTTCACCTGGGATGCTGAGGGGCTACAGTAAACGCAGCCTGCCGCCAGCTTCTTTGTGGGGAGGTGTATAATACATGTCGCCATCTGAATGTTGGGGGTGTTTAAAGAAGCGACTGTTTCCGTTTGGATTCGCTCACTAGTCATAAGCAGTGCCCCCCTCCTATGCGATTGTCCTTCCTATCGGTTCTGAAGACACTGAAACCTTTTGGTTATAACGACTCAATGTCCTCATTCGGACGGAACAAGGTTTCAGTTATCGCTATGCAGTCGGAGTGAATACACTCCGACGTTAATTCACCCCATTTGTCCCCCAGGCTGCAGGCGTTTGTGCTGAACACCCTCAGACCTGATCTATGTCTAGTGATGGGAACTTTGGGGTGGAACTCGGGCTTCTTCTTTTAGACACAGTGGGCATATTTCCGTATGATTCTCTTCCCCGAAGCTCGGTGGCATGACTCAAGTGTGCGTGTCTTACCACCACCTCTCCAGGAAGTCGTCTAACCGACGCTTGAACATTTTGCCATTGATCTCCTCTACCACGTCTTCCGGTAGCATATTCCACATACTAGTCCCACTAAAGGAATAAGCAGTAAATCATCGGTATTCCTACTTAATGCTGTTTCGTAAGGGTCAGCGCATGCCCCCTCATACGATTGTGCTCTCGAGCTGGAAGCGTCACCTGCAGTTCGCATCCCGGGTCTCCGCGGATGGTGAGCCTGATATACAATAAATCTATTCTCATCAGCCTGTAAGTTAATGGAAACAATCCTGGGTCCTTAAGGCGTCCTTCATAGTTAATTCCTCTCAGCCCGACAATGAGGCGTGTGGCAATGTGGTGTACCCTTTGCGGCTTCTCTGCTTCTGCCCTTGTGCATGGAAACGATGCAGGGCCGCCGTATTTCAATCTTCGGCGTACATGAGAGGTAAAAGAATTTGAATACATTCAAGGATAGTCCACCAAAAATCCATCTTATGGCTCCCATTATTTGCCAGGCCGATGAACACACTCTGTCGACGTGGCCACTGGTTCTTAGGTAGGAAGCGACGATTACCCTCAACTCCTTTTCGCAAGCAGATAAGCGCAGAGGGTTGCCAAGTATGGTCTTCTCCACGGTGGAATCTTCTTGACCCACCCACATATGCGCACGTTTTGAGTTATTCATTGGTTCAGACCACCTTACGGACCAGCACTCCACAGATATCAGGTCTTCTTGTAGAGCACAGACGACGACATCTGAGGTCGCCGCTCGCCAAAGCTTCACATTATCGGAGAAAATTAGGCACTGGGGTCGTAAGGAAGCCGGAAGGTCGTGGATGTTAGTCCAGGAATAGCAAAGGGCCTAGAACTGAGCCTTGCGTACCGCCACGAGAAGCTCCGTGCGAGCGTGATGTTGCCTGAGAAACTTGGATACAGAATGTCCGCCCATCCAACAAATCTGATATCCAACGAAATAATGAATACCCGATACAAAGGGTTTTCATTTTTAACAGCAAATGATCATGTGGTACTTTGTCAAAGGCTTTAGTGAAATCAATGTACTTTTGCCAGATATCGAGCAGCGATTAACCGATACCCACAGAGAAGAAACCGAACCAACTGTGGTCTACACAAGTGTAGGATTCGGCATCACCCATTATTACACAACGATGAAAGAGTCGAGCCGCGAAAAAATAATGACTGGGTTGATTTAACCAACGAACACTCTGTGCGGGATATACCGAAATCCGTCTGCACTATCGGACGGGTGTCTAGTAAGCTGGTCCGCTTGGGAATAATACCAATCCAAGTGGAGACTCCGCGTGGTATGGTCCAAGTCGTGGCGTTTTCAGAGAATGGTTCGGATACCACCCTCGTGAGAGAGAGCTTTGCGCGAGAACACGACCTCGGAGGACAAAAATACATTGGTAATCAGCACGGTAAACGAGGCACGAGCAGTTCGAGCTTCTCAACTGAGTTTGTAGTTAGCTCCCACATCGGGGGAAGATACGATAGAGGTGCACCATGCGTTTACTATCACCGAACTACCAATGAGAGCTTCCGAAAGTATCCGGTCGTTAGCGCGGCGCTGGCCTCACCTCCGAATCTGCCGTTTGAGGACGTTCCGGACACCCGAGTGGACATATTGATCGGCTGTGATGTACCCGAGGCGCATTGGGTTTCGGCTGTGATGTACCCGAGGCGCATTGGGTTCTGGACCAAAGGGTAGGAGGCCGTAGAGGATCCATATGCTGTGCGCACGATGTTTGGTTGGATACTCTGCGGGCCGCTCAGTAATGATGGTAATTATTCAGCCACGATCAACTTCATCTCGAGGACAGGTAATTCCATAGGAGACGATCTGGAACGGCTTTACAATCAGGAATTCGGTGACATAGCAGACGACCAGATATCTGTGTCTAGAGAAGACCGAGCAGCTCTGGCTATCGTCACCGAAACGACACGAAAGAACGGAGCCCAGTTTGAAGTGCCGCTACCCTGGAGAACGGGATCCAATCGACTGACCGATAATCGAGAGATAGCCCTCCATAGGCTCAACTACCTGAAGGGACGAATAAAATGGAACGCACAGTTGAAGGAAGCCTACTGTAGTGCCATGAAACGCAATCTATAGTTGGGATAAATCGAACGCGCAACGGGAGAAGCTGAAAAGAGCAACCATTGTGGTACCTTCCGCACCACCCTGTCTTAAACCCCCAGAAACCTCCGAAGACAAGGACTGTCTTCGATTGTGCTTCCAAGTGTGCCCGGATGGCCCTAAATGACCGTCTACTCCGAGACCATGATCTGACCACCCCGCTGATTGAAGTGGCGTACCGATTTTGTCTAGGGTCAGCTGTGGTAGCGGCTGATATCCAGGAGATGTTCATGCAGGTTCAAGTTCCCGAAGGGTAAAGGGACGCTCTACGGTTGTGGTAGTGGTGGTCGGACGGAGACCTAGATGGACCTGCTGAGGAATATCTGATGACGGCGCACCCGTTTGGCGCGATATCTTCTACCTTCTGTGCAAAACTCGCGTTAAAAACGACCGTGAATCAATTTGCTCAACATTTCGAAATCCCGATGGGCTCCTTTGTTGAACGTAGCTTTTATGTGGACGACTTCCTGGGATCCTTCGATAGCATCGAGGAAGCAGTTCAACACATTAGGGATCTATCCAAGCTACTGCTCATTGGTGGCTTCAAGGTGACCAAGTGGACGTCCAAAAGTCGTCATGCAATTGATTGCATCCCATTTGATGAGCGGGCACCGAGTCTTTGTGACTTGCAGGGGAGTCCGTTACCAACAAACGGGGCTCTTGGTGTGCAATGGAATTCGGAGAAAGAGGGGGTTTGTTCCAACTCCAGCTACCCGAAAAGACGGTGACTCGCAGAGGAATTCTGTCTTCATTGACCAGCCTTTACAATCCAATGGGGTTCGTCGCATCGTGGCTACTGCCGGACAAGATTCTGCTGCAGGACCTGTGTAGAAAAATGGTTACTTTAGATGAGACCTTATGCAAATTCAGAGTCAAGTTTTATTATGGGCGATTTAATAGAGCTAAAGCTTATCATGCTCCATAGGATTTCTACAGAATGTTTCGAATAACTTCACAAAGCGAAAATATCAGTGATAATAATGTGCGTGATCACCAACGGATGTTGAAATTTTAAGTGCTTAAATGCTCCATCAAGTTGGGATTCAAATAGTTCAACTGTAGGAGCACACACTACGTCAGATGGGAGAGTATTCCATGCGCCGCACACTCTGACTGCAAACGAGTGATACCGGCAATCAATACGGCTGTTCTGGGTCTTCACCTTTAGTGGACGTCCCCTGAGGTGATCATTGAGATAAAGTCGGCAGACAACGGCAAGGGTGGTTGGGTTGATGCAGTATGTGATATGCCAATATTGAGTCCTCTCGAAGTCGGTGGTATTGGGATGAGTGGTCTTAATATTTGCAGTCTTTCGGAGTATGTCTTGTTATATAGACCCTTTATCAATTTCGTTGCCAGCCTCTGTGGCCGTTCTAGAGCCTTCCTATCGCAATTTAACCATGAATTCCATACTTGAACGGCGTACTCCGTGTGTGGCCGAACGAACGCTGATAACAAGCGTGGGAATAGTGCTCTTTCGAAATTCCCGAAAACAAGTCTGAGTAGTCCAACTTGCTTTAGAACCATAGATGATGCTCTGGCACAGTGCGTGGAACATCCTACGTCATCCTCTAACATAACTCCTAAATCCCTTTCATCAGTGGCATGCGGTAGTATTTGGTTCCCCAGAACGTAGGAGAAACGAGTTTTATGCCGCATGGAAATGACTCTGCATGTGGAAACGTTGAACTCGATGTTGTTGGCGATTGACCATCGGTGCGCTGCGTCGATCGTTTGTTGGGGTGCTATGTGATCCCCAGGATGTGTTACAGTTCTCCAGATATCACCGTCGTCTGCAAATAGTAAAGTACTAGGCCCAAGGATATGTGGCAGGTCATTTATAAATGCAAGAAAGAGACGAGACCCCAGTACGGATCCTTGAGGAACCCCCTGGATAGCGATGATATGCTATGATAACGAATCACCGACACGAACTGACATGGTTCTTTGCCGGAGAAACTCCTTGATATAGTCCAGGACCAAACTTCTTACTCCGTAGTTGTAGTGTTATTGCAGTAGAATTTGGTGGTTTACTCGATAAAATGCCAAATGTCCAAATAAACTATATCCAGTGGCTGGGC